GGAAGCCACTATCCCAGCCACTAGAGAGCAGTAATGACAGTCAAGGCAACCCTAGGTGGTTCCTTCTGGACATTCTAGGTCTTTGCCTCTATGGAAGGGCAAAATCTTTACCACCGAATCTGTCCAGAGCTCCTTAAACTCATATGTTGCCTCTAAACTAATCTACATCCTTTTTGTTCCTAATCCAGTCAGCTTCTGTAGGCAGAAAGAGGAGGGGACACCTTCTTGTTCCTTTGCCTCAGACAAGCAAAATGTCTTTGGTCAACCTTGATAATATTGTAACCTCTACAAGGAACAAATTGGAAGCACAATAGCAGATCCCTTTGTTCGGATGTTCCCAAGCCTTTCTTCTATTGCTCCAGCAAGATAGACAGTAAACTGAATTGTCCTTTAGAGTTTTACAGTTCCATGAATATAGTCTCAGTTCCAGATTTAGTCCTTATGATAGACTTGGCAGCTAATGTGGTGTCCTGAAGATAGTGTCAGAGGGCTCAAAGGATCTGGGTTCAAGAGCACATCAGGCCATGGCGACTCATGGGGTGGGAGGGGTCATGGTAAACCAGTGTCTCAACCTCATCTATGTTGGTCACAGTAAGTTAAAAATGATTTGATGGCATCAGATGCTATATAGGTAAGCTCACTGAAATGAATGGCACTTAGTTCAGTCACATCTAACTAGGAATTGTTTGATATTTGATCTATTAAAGGTGTTCCATTCTTCTAACTTGAGTGCTTTTCAAAAAAAAACACCAAAAACTGAAAAATAAACATCAAATAAAAAACTATTTTCATAGAAATTTCAGCTTTCCTGCCCCCAATGTAATATTTTGTGCTTAGTTATAACATTTTATTCAATTATTGTATAACTCCATGAGAGACAAGATAGCATCTTCTGAGAAGAGTCACTGCTGCCATCTAGTGCTCTGAAAAAGATTGACAGGACAGAGCACGGATAATTAACCTTTTTCCCGTTTGCTAGTAGAGATGGGGGTATTTGTATTCAAATATCCCCACGTAGCTGGCGTTAACGAGGTTCCACCCCCTGGGGCCCGATCATCCGCTCACGCTTCTGATGGTGGCAGCGGTCCCAAAACTCCGGTTGGGATTGGAAGGATGAGCGAGGCCACCACTGCCGGCGGACACATGAGTGGACGGTCCAACTCTGGGGGGCGGGGACCCTCATTAACTCCAGCTGTGCAGGGATATTTGTATTTGTCTACAAATATAAAAACGTATTTGCGAAGGCTTTCACGGCCAGGATCTAATGATTGTTGTGGGTTTTTTGGGCTCCCCGGCCATGTTCCGAAGGTTGCTCCTCCTGAAGTTTTGCCC